AATGTTTCGTATTTTATCGATTCTTCGGATTCATCAGGTTCCTGACGATTTTAAGTTTATCTTGCATTCTTCGAAATATATGCATTTCTTGGTTGATTAAAAGTTCTCCGATTCTTCTGAACACAAAAAGTTCTCTGACTTAAACCTTCCCTGAATACTTTGGAATATATGCTTATCTCTGATTATTTAGATATAGTGCATAGTTTGAACTCCAGCAAGTTTTAGATTTGCGGTAGGTGGGTACGCGTGGATCTGAGCGTGGGGGTGGACGTGGACATGGACATGGGTGCGGGTGACTCTGATTTGGGGCGTGAGTGATACTCTTCTGTCCACTCACACCAACACCCACACAGGATCATATCACACAATCTCTGCCCTTCACTGTCTCAATCACATAAGCTAAGCCATCCATACCTGTTCTTACTTAACGCAAGGTCCACATTCATTCACATTTGTTAACATCCACCTCAATCAATAATACAGAACCTGAATCTGATAGAGTTCGGCACTAACTGAAATATGTTGTTACTATGAGCGACTGTTTTGTTTCAGCACCACTTCGAGGTATCTACATTGGCACCAAGGCGAGATGGGCACAAAGCGGTGTGACTGTGGCTGGAGGCAACAAATCTGGCAAAGCACTAAACCAATTGTCTCTTCCGTGCGGCATTTTTGTGGATGACAATCAAACAGTCTATGTCGCTGATTATTCGAATGACCGTATTGTTGCATGGAGGCATGATGCCACCAGTGGCGAGCTAGTTGCAGGTGGACATGCACAAGAAAATTATATGAACCAATTGAAGCGTCCACGAGATGTTATTGTTGAGAAAGCAACAGGTAGCCTCATAATCTGCGATCGTGGCAACAAACGAATTTTACGATGCCCCTGCAAAGACGGCGCCAATGGAGAAACAATAATCTCTAATACTTTTTGCTTCGGGTTGTCCATGGATAACCATGGAGTTCTTTATTTTTCTGATACTGAAAAGAACAGTGTTAAGCGATGGCAAACGGGACAAACAACTGAAACAGTGGTAGCGGGAAATAATAGGCAAGGCGATCGCCTGGACCAGTTCAATGATCCTAGGTACCTATGCGTCGATGACAATCGTTCTGTGTACGTCGCAGACAGCGAAAATCATCGTGTAATGAAATGGACGGAGAATGCAAAGGAAGGAGTCATCGTAGCAGGAGCTCAAGGCTATGGAAATAGTCTTTCGCAATTGTCATCCCCTTCTGGAGTTGTTGTCAGTCAATCGGGTAATGTTTATGTAGCCGACAGTTGGAATCATCGAGTAATGTGTTGGTCCAAAGATGCAATACAGGGAAGTATTGTTGTAGGTGGAAATGATCAGGGCGATAAGGCGGATCAGTTAAACAAACCAGTGGGTTTGTCATTTGATAAATACGGCAACCTCTATGTTAGCGATTCGGGAAACAATCGAGTGCAAAAGTTCGACATTATCCCAAGTTAGTACGCTTTCAGAGTCCGCAAACTATTCTTACATTGAACTGCTTATTGTTTTTATGTACTTTTCTTTTCTCGATATAATGAACGGGTTGAAATTAATCCTGAATAAAAACCGAAAGTGATGGACACTCTCTACGACTGGATGCATAAAAAGCTGGGTGTGGGTGGGTGTGGGTGTGAGTGTGGGTATGGGGTGGGTGCGGGTGTGGGTGTGGGTGCGGGTGTGGGTGTGGGGGTGGGGGTGAGGGTGGCTGTGGGGTGTGAGTGTGGGTGTGGGTGGGTGTGAGTGTGGGGTGTGGGTGCGTGTGGGTGTGGGTGTGAGTGTGGGTGTGGGTGTGGGTGGGTGTGGGTGTGGTTGTGAGTATGGGTGTTGGTGTGGGTGTGGCTGTGACTGTGGGTGGGTGTGGGTGTGGGTGGGTGTGGGTGTGGGTGTGGGTGTCGGTGTGGGTGTGGGCGTAGGTGTGGGTGTGGAGTGTGGGGTGTAGGTGTGGGTGTGGGTGTGGGTGTCGGTGTGGGTGTGGGGTGTGGGTGTGGGTGGATGTGGTTGTGGGTATGGCTGTGGGTATGGCTGTGAGAGTTTAATTCATTCCATTCCACACCCACACCCACACACACCTTGGAATGGAATGAATTAAACTCTCACAGCCATACCCACAACCACATCCACCCACACCCACACGCCACACTCACACTCACACCCACACGCCACACCCACACCCACACCCACACCCATAGCCACAGCCACAGCCACAGCCACAGCCACACCACACCCACCCACACCCACACCCACACCCTCTTGATTAATTCGTGAAAATGATCATATTAATATATATGATGCTTAACAAAAATGTTCATTAGCAAGTGCAAGAAAAGGCAAAGTTAAAGATACAATGTGGTCAAATGATACGAATTACTTATCATTTTTAGGATGATTCAGGTGTTTTTCTTCGTACAACATTAAATCATATTAAGTATGCACTTATGAATGGTGATCATGGAATTATTCATATACTTGATTTGTATATTTGTATAACAAAAGTTAAAGTAATAGAAAATATGATGAAGTAAAATTTACAAATTTCTTTTCAAAAATCTTCATCTTGAAAACAAATGATGCAAAAACAAGATTTGGCTTAGCACTTGAATATAGAAATATTGATGTAAATTATTTGTGGTTTCTTCTAAATAGTTTCAATTAGCTATTTTTTGAAAAATGAAGAAAATTGGTTTGAAAAATTTCTTGTTGTTTTTATTTTAATTTATTTTTTTTGTTTAGCTGAAGTACGAAAAGATGTTAGTAGACAATTTCAAATTGCAATCTTATTAGGGGATGTTGAAGAACGGATGAAATTTCTTAGACAGTGCAATCAAAGTAATATTTTATATTTTTTCTCTATGAGATTGAATTATGTTATGTCTTTTTTTATACAATAGAATCATTTGATGAAAAAGTAATTTATTATGGACAAAAAAAAAATACTCGCGTGCTAATACTTCGCCCGAGAGGGTTTTAAAAAAATTAAAGCAATTTAGAAAGTTTTATTTTTCGTTTTCTAATATCTTCAATTGAAAGTCTTGAAAACTAGTTATAGGTTTTCATGTAAATATACCAATTTTTTTGAACTATTAAATAATTTCTAAACAATCTTTAATTGTATTCAACACATCATTTATCTAAAGAGTTTTCTGTACCGTTGTATAAAGAAGTTTATGATGATTCTCGAAGTTTATTGTGATATTGAATGATAACATGTTTTTTTTTAAAGATATTTGAAATAATCACCATGTCATAGTTAGTTTAGTTTATTTTCTCTGATTGATATTCATTAGAATGTAGATTAAAAACAAAATAAGAAGACTTCATATTCTGTTTCAAAAAAGGAATAAGCCGGTGGACTGAGACTTTAACAAAGTTATTATTACTTGTTCTTTGTCTAATTGATATGTTAGATATGAAATAATAAGATAAACATACATTTAATCAATATTAATCTCGTGTTAAATTTAGTAATTCAAAATAAAATGTTTATTTTAGTTACCTGTAATAAATCTAAATGCTAAATTAATTTTACCACCATGTCCAATAAGTCAACAAAAATCAAAGCAGGATTAATATCAAACATAACAGCAAAACTTGCTGCAAATCTTCATATTGATGAAACAGCAACGAGTGGTGGAGACTGGGCCGATGATAAACAAGATGAAGATTGAGATGATGCTGAAATTGGATTAGGACCTGATCTTGTATGTTTTTATTCAAATATATTCACGTTCACGTACAGCTTTTACAGCGCTTCCATCATTATCATCATTATATGCATATTTCATTAAGAAATTGGTTTGTATTTGTTCATTTAATAAATATTTTAAAATTTTTATTTTAAGTATTAAGGCGTGAAGTCCATTCACCAAAACTGTTTTATCCAGCAGTTAAACGTCTTCAAATCGCTTATCGTTTAACAACAAATGGAAAATCTCAAGAAGCTGTTGAAAAATTTTGTTCAATATTATTATCTGTTCCATTATGTATTATTGACTCACGTCAAGATATTCTTGAGAGTCAACAATTAACTGAAATATGTAAAGAATATATTGTTGGTTTACAAATGTTAATGGCAAAAAAAAGATTTAGAAAAAGATGATCATGACATTAAAATCTTCACTTAAGCATTTGAAATTAAAAAGTTATAAAACTGCAACAAGCTTTGCCAAACGTTTATTGAAATTGTAACCAGCATCTGACGTTGCTCAATAGGTTTTTAGCTTTAGTATTAATATTTCATTTTCAAACCAAATATTCTCATTCTTTCTTGGTTTCAACTTTGAGAAGTTTTAAAATGAACCAAAAAAGAAAGAAAACATATCTTTAATTCACTCAAGATATGTCATATCTGTTGATCGAAGTTGTTCATGTTTTTTTTTGATTTATTTGAAACAATTGAGTTTATTGTTTGCTAAATGAAACATAATTTTGGTTCAATTACTTTAGAAGACGAACAAAAAACAATAAAAACTTATTTTTTTATTATTTTGTTTAGACACGGAAAGTTTTAAGCGTTGGTGAAAAAAATCCCATTGATGAACATCCATCAAATTATAATGAACATAATAGTCCATTTGATATTTGCGCTGCATCGTATGTACCAGGGCTCCGGATGGGATGGGATGGGACGAAAAAATCGTCCCATGGTACGAGTTGATTCGTCCCATCCCATCCCATGGGATTTAGGGGTCGTCCCATCCCATCCCATGGGAACCCATGGGACAAACATCTACTCAAAAAATATTAAAATTTATTGAACCAATCACCATGGTAGTCATATTGAATCCTTTGATATTCTTCCTAACTATTTCCATATCGCCACTTTATTTCACATTCAATTTCTCTACTATTTATATTAATTCACATGGTTCTTTTCGAAAAAGAGACTGCGCATCTTGATCAACGCTAATGAATAAGGTAATCAACTCATCGAAATTTGTTAAGATAGATTTCAATCCGTCAGGCTCTGCTCGAGTCCAGAATTGACGTTTCTTTTTTGGAACATTGCAGCACAATGTTTCGAATCACTAACCAGTACTAACGATGCTTCTCTAGGGCATCGGAAACTTGATGTCTCATATTCTGATGATTTTCGTTAGATTTCTCAGATTTTTTAAGGCGGTTAAAGATTATTACATATTGTTGCACTATCCAAGGGATTTCTTCAAATGTTCACTGATTTCAATAAAATATAAAATAGTTTTAATCCAACAGATTTGATCTAGATTTGCTATCCACTAATTAGTTTTCTCTTAACCATGAGCTTCCGAGAGTTATATCGAAAATTGATTTGAAGTATAAGTTAATTAAAACATGTGCTCTTGTCGTTATGTCGTGATGAGTAGTGCTAGGAGTAGTATTAAAAAATAAAATAGTACAAAACACATGAAACTCAGAAAGAAATTACTTTGTTTTTAATAGTTAGTACGGTTTGTTAAAATGTTATTTTTATGCACGAGAGAATTGGACTTTATTTGAAAAGAAAATGATAATAAATAGAGTCTTAGACTTTTTCAGTCTTTTTTAATAATAGTCTTCATCATAATAATACGTAGTAATACGAATCTAACACACTTATTTGTCATAAACTAAGTTTCTTATTCATGTGTTATGCTCATATCAACTACTTTAACGCAATCTTACAGAATTGAAAGTATAACTTATTAATATTTGTTTTAAAATAAAATGCTATCCTCTATGGGTAAAAACGATCGTTTCGTTTCGATACTCTGAAAGCAACAACTAAGAAATACAAGATAATTCATTATTTAGTTTTATATAAAATGATTTTTTTTTCTTAAAAATGGTACAAGAGAGTCAAATGTGAACTCATTTGTGTTAAAACAAAACAGATGTAATAAGGAAATTATGAAGTCTATCTTTCTCCACTTTTATAAAGTAGCTCGAACTAATATTTCTACAGAAAATAATGTGCAAATTTTACTCAAAAATAAAAAACACAAATCCCATGGGATCAAAGTTTTGTCCCATCCCATCCCATGGGATTAGCGATTTATCCCATCCCATCCCATGGGACATTTGAAGGAAAAAGTTGTCCCATGGGATGGGATTAGATGGGATGGGATGGGATTGTCCCATCCCATCCGGAGCCCTGGTATGTACCATATTTATCGGTATGAAATTTAAAAATGAAACCGGATTTAATTTAAAGTAATCTTTAATTCTTGTTTAGTGAAAACTCATTATCTGGTACAGCCCATTTACCGGATTTTATAGGACAATTATGTCGTGTTATAAAAGCAACTGAAATTGGAAAAGAATCTCTTGGTCTTAGGATTTCAATGAGCTAATTTTGTTAGAATAAAAAAAAACGGTTTGTTTAATTCTATTTCACTATTATTAATTTTTAATGCATATATTGATCGTTTTGAAAAAGTAATTTATCATTAGAACGTTTTTCTTTTATTTCAAGATAAAGAAATCCTTTTCTAAAACGAAAATTTAATATCAATACATTTGTTTGAAATAAGTTCACTTCAGTAGAGATTGAAATTCTATGATAATATACAAAAATTAATAATCTCGGTTTATAAAACGACATCAATGCAACCGAATACTTTATAATTGTTTAAGAAATTTTATCGACATGATTTCATTTTATAATCAACTTTTCAATATCTCGATTGACTCATTCAATTGGTAACTTACACGCATCTATTCAATATTCATACCGCCAGCCTTTTCTTGATCACGTTTAACTATATAATGAAGTCATTAATAAGACTAAGAGATAATTAAATGTCTAATGAACTACTTTTCGTTTATACATTTCTTCACATTTAAATAAAAATAAAAATGAACAATGAGAAATAACTTTTCATTCTAAAAACTAAAATGGAAGATAGTACGTAATGATGATGTTCCATTCAATGGTTTATTTCCCCCAATTGAAAAAATCTTCGTTGATTTCGATTGACTTTTCTTTGGTTTCTCAACTACAGCGTTTCAAAGTAAAAACAAAACAAAAACCTATTCTAAAACCAAATTTTCTTAAATTAATATCTTTTGTAGATAATCATTATGGTGATGAAAATCTTGATTCTACTATAGAAAAACATGGTCTTAATGGAGCATTTCCAAGAACTGTTATAATAACAACAATGAAACGAGAAACAACACCATCGGGAAGATGCGTTATTGAAAAACAAATTCAATAATCATCAAATCAAAATGAAAATATACAAAACTGAAACAGTAAGTAAAATATATGGAGATAAACATCATACAACAGTAAAACAAGATGGTAAAATAATTCGAGAAAATGGAAATGCAACAATGAATGACTTAAATCAAATTGATAAAGACATTCGGATTTTTTTAAAAAGCTTTTTTGTAAAATAAAAAGTTTTTTGTTCAAATGTTCTACTAAAAATAAACGAAAGAAAATACGTATTATTCAAGTTTGTTTTGTTTTTATTTTGAAAAAAAAACATGTAGTTGCCTTGCTGTTTTTTATTTAATATATTTTATTTTTTCCGCTTCGTCAAAACTAAATCTCTTTTCCGATTGAAAATAAACTTGTCGACAATGCCATCATTTTCCTCAATAATGACAGAAAAAAAAGAAAAAAGGTGTCGATTCAGGTTGATTGAACATCCGATAGCTTATAAACAACTAGACAAAAACTTTTTTTTCTCTAATCTTCATTTACAACTAACTCACAAATTAGAATATCAATTTAATCTTGTTATTAGTTTCTTAGAAAAAAAAAATCTACCAATATTTCAATATCAATCTTCACCATAAAGTAAATTATTTAGATACGTTGGATAATAGATGAGTACAGGGGTGTCCCGAGGTTGCCAAGATTGGGGGGGGGGGGGGGGGGGTTTGTTGGGGGGGTTGGAGAAAAAAAAAACCGAAAAAATATTGAAATTTTGCTGGGGAAAAAAGAAAATTTTTCAACATTGGGGGGGTCACCCTCCCACTCTTCCGTTGGTCGGGACACCCCTGGATGAGTATCATTCGTGGAGGAAGGAACTTTTCTTTTCTTGATATTCTTATTAATCATTGAGTAACACTGTGAAAGAACACATAAACGGATGCGAAGAAAGCTTTGTGAAAATTAAGAAAGTTATTGTTCTCCTTTTCTTCTGACTATTATGTTCCTTTTATTTTCATTAATTCATTAAAAAAAGGGTGTATGTGTTAATTTTCCTCTGATCTAAAGTACATCAACACCCTCAAGTCTAATTATGAGAGTGATAGATTTTATCAGCACAGACACTAAACATTTACATGTCAGCCGGTTATCTAAGTCATAGTATGATAGGAAATTTGGATGTTTTGAAAAACAAGACAATTGAAAATAAGATACACGCAAAAGCGGTCGTATATATTGTTTATTTCTAGAAATAAAAGTCTCTGTGGTGACTAGTCTAAGGAAAAACATGGGTTTTTTATATCTCACAGTCATAATAGTAATAGAAATCGTAAAATCTTTCTTTGAACAACAGTTCTGATCAGTCTAATTCGATACTGACATGGCAGCAGGCTATAGATTGAAAAGAGCTGTAAAAACTGTGATGCTCGAAACAGGCTTCAAAAAAGACAACTTTTTCATGGTATAGACTTGCCCGATTTGATAAAATTTTCGTTTACAAAGATTTCTTCTAGTTGCATTTGAAGATGATGTCGTCATCTTTGAAGAACTTGATACATGCAAGTGAGTATAACATGATATATCTTCCTGAAGACTTCTCACAACTTGAATCTCAAAAGGATAATCAATACATAAACGATTTTTTTGACACTAGTTAGAAACTTATCGATCATTTACAACTCTATTCTGTGCTATAAAAAATTAAGTCTTGAGTTGAATTTTCATCCTAATTCCTCGTTTCATTGTGATCTCTAGTTTATCTATTTATAAATAAATATTAGTAAGAATCATTAGTGTAATTGTCAATCTTTGATGTATATTATTAATTCAATAATTCTTACTTTTCGATTCGTTTTTCTTAAAAAAGAATATCAATAAAACAAAGTTATTAGCACAAACATTGTGAAATTAAAACATGAAATAAAGCGAGACTTGCTGTGATTATAAAAATGAAATAATCAGTATATGTTTCAATTTATGAATCCGTACCTATTGTAAATATATGGCGATCATAAAATGTATCACTTCCAATATAGTGCAATAAGTATGAAGGAAAAGTAAAAGGCAATTATCATACTAAGCTCAGTTCTTAGATGAGAAGTACAGCAACAAGATTCAAGTGTATGGATATTGCTGAAATCAAATTTGAGTTAGGATCTGTTCAAGTCGAAGCCTGGAGCTGATAGAGTCCTGATTCAGCTTTCTGTTCTTCTGATTCACGAAAATGTACATCTGAAACTCAATGACTCCAACAGACATTTTAGATCGTGTTTGACAAAATTAAAAAAATTGTTGTTTTATTATTTCTTTGAAAAAGCTTATTAGCATAGTCCATTTAATGTCGATATATGGTACTCATATATACCATATAAGATAGAATAGTTGCTAAGATCTATAATGAAAAGAGGAGTCGAAAACCTTCGATTTAAAATTTACACCCATTATATTCTTCGAAAATATATGAAAGTTCTACAAAAAAAAAACACTTTTACATTAATTTAATAGAGTTGATTGCATAATACATTTTTCTATTTATCATGAGATAAAATCTTAATATCATTTTGGTCATTAAACAGACGTATTAGTTGTGTTATTTATTCAACATTTTCAATAGATGAATTTGGAAATATTTTTAATCAGTCAGATTTATGTTAAAAGAAGTTTGCATTAATCTTACAGCCGTTAATTTGTAATTCTCCGTCTCTTCTTTCTTATATAAAATATATTCATTTTGATGGAACAAATTCAAATTGTTATAATGTTATTTATCAATTTCTTTTGTTTTTTTCATCATAATCAACAAGTTCTTTGTTTTTCTAATCTTAATTTAAAAAAAAATGTCGAAAAATCAATTATGATTTCAAAGTAATTTTTGTCTAGTTCGAGAAATAGAATAAATCGTTAAAATTCGAGAGTTTTTTATTTATAGAAATCTTCTTCAACAGGTGTTTAAATTACCTGTCGGACACAGGCTTATCGAAACTGGAACTAATTCTTTTTTTTTTGACCGACTACCAGAATGAAGACTAGAAATCAGAGCGAAATCTAGATTTAAATGAGATGTGGTGTTAGTCTATGCGATTCTGAAGAAATCTCTTTACGAAAACCTCGACGATATTATGGACATATCACATTTATCTGGTTCAGATGACAACAAGATAAGTTTTATCAATTGTTTCGTATTTACTCACGAGAAAAAAGTTGAAAAAATTACGTTTGAATGCCTTCTTATTCTAACCCATATGCTTTTGCTAGAGTTTAAGAGCACTTTGTAAAACGTGTTGGAACGGGCGTTTTTTCATTAAAAACGGAAACCATCAGTTCGAGGATACTTTCTTCTTATAACTAAATTTTGACACTCATATGCTTATACTCGTGTCACTGTAGTTATAGTCTTATACGTATACTTCTTTAGATAAAATTTATACAAAGTTGAGATCCACACATATAGTTTTTTAATTCATCAACATAAAATAAGAGTAAGACTTCTTTGAAAATTTTATCCAATGGATATATTTAATAAAACGACGTTGTTTAGTCTCGATTGCATTGCATTGTGATATGACATTATAATTTCAACAATTAGAGGTCGAAAACATAGATGAGGTTCAGTATATCACACTTCTAGCAGTAGTAAAATAAGTTTGTTTAGTTTGTTATACAACTTTCATTCCATCACTATAACTTTCATGGAT